GGCGCTATCGGGGCCCAGCCTGGCCCTTTGGCGGCTCAGGCTGGGCTCGGTGGGATGTGTCCCATTGCGTGTTTGTTCCCCCTCTGTGCAGCTGCGGCCCGAACTGCCGGCTCACAAGTGCCTGGCCAACAACCTGTGCTCGCAGGGCCTCTGGCTGGAGCACGAGCCCGGTGGTCTTCAAACTATGGGCTGAGAGCCGGGAGTGGGGTGTCGGGCGCTGGTCTCGTTGCAGCAGAGGGATCAGGTGACCAGTGGGGCACTAAGGCAGCTCCCTGCCTGTCCTGCCCCTCAGACTGCGCTGCGCCCTAGAAGTGGCCGACAGCAGGCCCAGCTCCTAGGTGTGTGGGGCAGAGCGCACTAGGGCACCGCCCACTGCCCCACCCTGGGCACTGACTCCGCACTCCCATTGGCCGGGAACCTGCTGCTTCTGGGGTGCAGCCTGGTGGGCAGAGCTAGGGAACAGCATTGCTGGACCAGGAGCGGCTTAGGGTGAACCCCTCCTGCCACAGCCCTGAATCACCCGTCACAGCTCAATGCCCAAACCTGCCACTGTGTGCGCAGATTCCCACCCCAAGCCAGAGCCCCCTCCTGCACCGCCAAGCTCTCATCCTCTGCCCCGCCCCGGAGCCCGCACTCCAGTCACATTCTGGCGGCTCGCGCCATCGACGATTTTCTTCAGCGGGGTCACGAGAGAAGCAGTTTGCAACCCGCTGGCTTAGTGAGCGAAAAGCATCCCAAGGAACCTGGCAGGGGGCTGCAGTTACAGGCAGTGCCAGCAGGTGGCAGCAAATTCCTACCCCTCCCTCCTTCCAGGCAGGGCTCTGCAGCAGAGGGGGGCTGCCCCCAGGAGTTTTAATCACGGTCGACGATTTTCTTCAGCGGGGTCACGAGAGAAGCAGTTTGCAACCCGCTGGCTTAGTGAGCGAAAAGCATCCCAAGGAACCTGGCAGGGGGCTGCAGTTACAGGCAGTGCCAGCAGGTGGCAGCAAATTCCTACCCCTCCCTCCTTCCAGGCAGGGCTCTGCAGCAGAGGGGGGCTGCCCCCAGGAGTTTTAATCACGGTGCCTCCTGCTCATGCCCCGGGGCGGGGGGCGGGGCTGGGTGCCCCATCTGGCCTGGGCCACACCAAGGCCCACTGCTGGGGGAGGGGGAAGCCTTCGCCATCAGTGGCCATGGCTCTAGCACAGGGTATTAGCCCCCGGGTGGGAGCATGGGGTGGGGCACCAGTGGGCAGCTCTGGATTCCTGGGTTCTAGACCCAGTTCTGCTGCTCCCTCACTGAGGGACTGTAACCCTCCCTGGCCCAGCCCCCTCCCTGTGACTCAGCTTTCCAGGCTGTAAAATGGGGACATGTCATAGGACGGACTCACCACTATGGCGCCTCCTGCTGGTCATGCTAGGAATTAGCTCTGTCCTCAGCAGGGTGCCCCCTTTTGGCCAGTGTCTCACCTGTTGTTTCTCTGTACTCTCTCCATGCTCTTGCTCTGGACCTGCTTCACTCCTCAGACCACTATGTCCTCTTCAGAGTCCTGTCCCCCCCTTTCTGGGGTGGGGTGTTTATTGTTCCTCCCCTCCTAAGGGAGCACCCAGTTCTCGTTCTCCTCCTCCCCCCTTGCCTCAGTGACCCACAGCCAGGCTTCATCTAACTTCTTTATATAGCCCCCCAGCTGGGCCCTAATCAGCAATAGCAGCCCTCCCTCAGGGCTGGGTTTTGCCCTTAAAGGGCCAGTGCAGGGCAGACGCCCGTCAAAGGATGGTGCAGAGCTGACGGGCTCTGCGGCTGGGCTCCGCCGTGCCTACGGAGGGGTCGAGATCCTTCCCCTTGGAGGCGCTGCACCGGAGCGAGGGGCTGGCGATGCCTTGGGCGGTGGCTTTTGTTCCCCTATGTCTCCCACACTGCCTCTGCGCTGCATCACTCCGCTAGTGCGCACAGCCAGGGGAAGCCACGAGCACGCGGAGCTCTGGGCCCAGGGCGCCTCCCACATCCCCATCCCAGTGGGTGGCCACGCTGCAAACACACATGCTGAGTGCAGCTGCCTGCTGCTGGGAGGAAGTTTTTGGCAGGCAGGAAGAAGATCAGTCATTTGCTGGCTGCCAGCCCTTCGGCCCAGCCTTGTGGGGCTCGCTGTGGAGCGGGGGTGCGCACAGATAGGCCCCTTCACTCTGCTTTATCCCTCTGGGAGGCAGACGCTCTGTACCCCAGCGAGCCTGGACCACCGGCCTCCCTCCAAGCCCAGTCGGTGCAGGAGGAAAACGTCTTCCTTCCCCCCTCAGGGGTGGCTCTGTGTTAGCCACTTGGATGGCCCAGTAGGCTGTATTGGCATCATAACGGTTCCCAAGTCAGTACCCTGACATTCGCGGGGCGTTTCGCCTGTTTACCCAACGCTCGGTCCTTGCCTGGAAGCGTCGCACATGCTCCAGATCAATTAATATCTGTTTATATAAGTGCAAATGAATATGCAGATAATGGAACACTGCAAATATACAATAGATAAAATAATAAATGGATCAGTCTCATGTTCTGTTTGAAGGTATATTGTAGCAGGATGTTAGTAATAAAATTCAATATTATTTGTTTAATAAAAGCTCCCCCGGCTGGCACGTCCCTGCGCCTCGCAGCAGCACCGTTCGTCCCCCTCCGGAGAGTCGTAAACCGCCAGAGGCAGCAGCAGGTTCATGGCCTGAAGCATTTAAAGGCCCCTGGGAGCAGAGTCTCTGGCAAAGGCCCACGCGGTCGATGCGCTAGCGGCTGACCTTTGTGATGGGCGACACAACAAGAGCAGAGGCTCCCAAGTCACTGAGCGACCCGCGGCTCTTTCCACACCGCCAGAGCCCGGCTGGGTGAGTGGGCGGGTGCCCGCATCGCTCCAGCAAAGGCCCCCCCACAGCTGGCCCAGGGGCGGGGCGCACGGCAACAGGAACGTTCCCCTCCTGTCTAGATAGACCGCTGCTTCTGCCCGCCGGCGGCTGTGCCGCGGGTCCCGGGTCACCGGGCTGAAGCCCACGCCCTTTCCTGGGGTGTGCGGGACTGGCCAGAGCAGGGTTTGAACCAGAGACTTTTGGCGCTAAAACTGCTCCAGTTAGAGGACAAAGGCCCAGAGGGTTTAGGCACCAAACTCCCACTGAAAGAAACAGGGGCCTTAGATGGCTCCTGACAGCAGCCACCTGCCTCCAGCAGGGTAAAGACACTGAGCCCTTGTTTCTCTTTAACCTCTTGCCTCCTGGTGCTTGCCAGCTTCCTGCAGCTCCTCACCTCCGCAGCCCCCGTCACCCGGACGCTGCCCCAAACCCTGTTGTCCCCTCCAGCTGGTTCCCGTCTTGGCGGAGTTCTTAGCACAGAGCCCTCCCTGGCAGGGCTCCCTTTGCGGCTCTCCGCGCCGGCTTCCCGTCTCCACGGCGGGGCTGAGCACGGCCAGGTCGTCTCCCACTGAGTCTTGGGGGTGCCCTGCTGGGTGGCTTTGCGGGGGCCTCCAGAGAGCCCTGAGCTGGTGGGCAGTTTGCCTGGAGCTCAGGGGCTCCCTTGCAGGCAGGCTGGAGACGTGTCCTCTGGGCCTTCTGCATTGTCTGCCCTAAAAGTCTTCAGTGTCTCCATTGTGTCCCCGGGGCCGCTCCTCTGTCCTGCCTGGGAACGCCCATCCCCCGGCCAGCCGGGTGGGGCAGAGGGAGCTCAGGGCCTGGGGAAGGACGGGGCAGCTGAGCAGCCGGCAAGAGCTTGTCCCACCAGGAGGCCCCGTTGCATTCCAAGGGACGGGCGCAGCCGTGTCTGGTGTCACTTTCCTTTCTGGGCCGGGCAGCTGGACTTTGCAGGGGGGGAGGAATGTCCGCAAGGGTGGAGCTGTCCCCCCCCACACACTATGCCTGACGCAGCTCAGGACAGAGCCCGGCAGCCCTGGGTGCGACGGGGGACCCTGCCCCAGAGAGAGGGAGACAGAAGCTGCCTGGCTTCCAAGCAGAAGCGTCCCCAGGAGGGCGTGAGAGGCAGGCAGGTGAGTTTGGCCTTGGGACTATGCAATTTGTATCTACGTGGGCAGGGTGGGTGTGGCACGTGTGTATGTGTGTGTGTGTGTGTGTGCACGCGCACATGTGCATTCACATCCATTCACAATATAAAACTGAAACCTAATCTGTTCGTTAGTAATAGAAGGGGGGATGCCAGCCGTTTTACACAAATCATAGCTAACCGGTGGAATTCTGTGCCTCGAGAACACCAAACGCTTAGGAAGACACAGTCCAAGATTTAGCCATGTATGTGGGCCATGAGCGCATCCATAGTTATAGCAGAGAAGATTCAAAAAGGTGCACGTGGGTGTGTGTGTGTGAGCTGTGTGGATGTCATGCAATGGAGCGGACAAAAGGGTCCTTTCTTTCTCTGGGCTGTTGGACTGGGCCTTCTGCTGAGTCTTTAGGATTCAGTGTGACTGAAGGGGAAAAGGCCCAGGTATTTAATTTTCCTTGTGTCAGGCGCCTGTTAATTACTTCTCCTTCCCCTTCCAATTATCATAAAACTGCCAGGAGGAGAGTGGGAGCTGCCAGTTGTGTCTCAGCCCCATTCATGCCACTCCGCAGAAGAGGCAGCCGTCAAGTCTGGATGAATTGTGCCTCGTTGCTGTGTGAGACAGACCCATCCGTCTTGCGGCTGCAGGCCCCTTCCTCGCTGGTTAGGGAAGGGAGACAGGAGGCGGCGGGGGCCACTGTGAGTTCAGAGCATCTTCTTTCTCTGTGCTGGCCCGGGAACAATCGTGAATTCTCCTAAGCTCCCCGGGGCTGAGCGCAGCCCTGGCGCGGACGGGGAGGGAGCGCGTGCCTCGGGAGATGCTCTGGGAACTCATGTGTGCGTTCCATCCTCCCTGTGCCCGAACCAGCCAATTTCATGGTGAAGGAACGAAGCTAAATCCACTTTCCTTTCGCCAGCGTCCCGCCGGTTGGGGGGTTTCTCATTCGGTTTCTGGAGCTGGATTTTTCGCTCCCCTGACCTGCGCCGGGTCTAGCCAGGGAGTGCGCAGCTGTGGGCAGCTGTTGTGCAAGACTCCTCCGCACGCTCTGCTAACGCCCCTCTGTCCTGACCTGCACTTCCTCCCGCTCTCCGAGTCTGGAGCCTCCTACACGGGTCTTGGCCAGTGCCCCTAAGTGCCAGCCCGCAGCACCCTGTGACAGTCCAGCCCATGGGCAGTGGGTAGAAGAGGCAGGGGGAGGCGTTGCCTTCCCAAAGTGCCAGCCTGGCCCCACTCACACGCCGCCCCCTGCTTCAGCGTGGCTCCTGGATGGTAAATATCGGTTAATTGAATCATCGATTAACCTCATGAATTCTTATTGGTTACTCAACTATTCTGTAGTCCCGGGGGCAGGCCCGGCAGCCAGTGCGCTCCGGCCCCACTCCTGGGGCGCCCCCGGCCACTCCACATCTCTATGGGTATGTCTACCCCACCCTCC